GATTAGCTGGGATATGTTTGTATTTTAAAGACAAACACAAAACAGTGACACAGTTTCCCTTCTAGACCCCTTTTTGTAATGTCAGCATCAGTGCATGATATATAGAACAGTAAGGAAAGAATGTCTTCATGGTTGCCAACTGCTTAAATATTTACCGAGAAAACATGATCATCTTTCAGTCAACTCATTGATCTGAATGCATGGCACCAAAGAAGGCCCTTTAGAAATACAAGATAACTGGCATAAAATGGTTTAGGAAATGTTCAAGCGCCTCCCTCTATTCCAATTATGTTTACCCAACGTTTGGCTTTCTTATAGCCCATCACTTGGATTACAAAGCAGCTTTCTTCTGGGAATTTCAAAATACTTCCCATTATTTATTTATTCATTTAATCAGTTATTTATTTTTAGAGATAGTGTCTCACTACGTTGCACAGGCTTGCCTAGAAATCCTGGGCTCAAGTGATCCTTCCACCTCAGCCTCCCAAGTAGCTGGGACCATAGGCACACGCCATCTTGCCTGGCTCACTTCCCATTATTACTAAGGGAAAATGGGTATACCAGAGTCATGGGTTACAGGATTGCCTTCTCCAGACTTTACTTCCTCTTTAACATGGCTAAATGGAAATAATTGAGCTTGATTAAATGAAAGCTAATTCACTTATGGGATAATAATCTCAGAATTAGACATGAATAGAGTTTTTAATATGGAATTTCTTAGTAAAATGTACTGTTTAGGACATGACAGAAGGAATTAAGATAATGTTTTCCAGATTATTCTTGGCCGGAACCTAAGAAGCAGCAGTTAACAATCAATAGCAAAGAACTTTACGGACTAGGCTTTTCAACCCTGAGTGATGCAGACTGTTCAGGAAGAGAGCCCTTTAAACTGCAAATTAAGGGCTCTTCAGGAATATTATATGCTATGATATTTCAAACTAAAACTTTAGAATGGTTCATGACCATTTATCAGAATTTTAGAAAATACAATTTGTCCTCTGGAAGTCATTTCATATATATTATTTTACTCCCAGATAAGCCAAAACTAACTGCTTAAAATAATAGAAAACCATGGAATTTAATAGAGAAGCATATATCTCTATATTTCTAGGGCACCTTTTCATCAGATCTTAGAATAAAGAAAAGCCACGACATTAATTCTGGTCCACATGTCTGGGGCCTAAAAGAAATCAAGGTACACATGATGGAAATCAGTTCAATTGTGACCAGGACTACAAATAATGTCCAAGCCAGTGTCTTGCCTTTGGACTTAGATTGTGAGGAATGACAATCTGTAAATGAGCCCCACTATCCACAGACTTTAGGCAATAAATTGTGTTTTCTTAGCTTAGAGACAAGGAATTCAAACAGGAGGGGCTTTGTGTGGCCTTCCTGGTCAAGCAAGGACAATGCAACACTACAGAGGGAGCAGCGATTTCTGAGCAAAATTCCAGCTTTGCTCTCCTCTCTCCAATACCCCCACGGTTACCCCCTAATTTTATTCTGTTTTCACTCCTTGCTATCAATTTAAAAAGGAAGTTCTCAAGTAGCACAGAACTGTTTAACTCATCCCCCTCCCCCTAAAACAATAGTCTTTTATGTAAATATTAGAGTCACTCAATTCTACACCTTAGAACCACAGACTCTGGGGTTAAAAGGCAACCTTTTGCAGAGAAGTGGTCTTAAAAAATAAATATAAAAACAGACTTTAGGCTTTAGGTTTCCCCTAATTCTCTCCAAGAAGGACTGGGCAGGGCTCTTCAAAAACTTAAACTCAGATATTTTCTATAGGTTATAAATGTGATGATAATAACTAATCCCACTAATTAATATTAAAGACAGATTTCAGATTTAACTCTTCCATACACATATTATAATTGGACAATATATATTTTCTTAAAAGTCTGAGTTTTCTTTCCTAAATAACAGACAAAAATATTTTTTAAAGTGCATGAATTAATTCATTAAGAAAAAAATAACTATGAATGGTCTAATTTCAAGTTGTTACCTACTTCTATTATAAAGCTACACATTATCTGAGGATTGAGTTTTAAGTTCATAGTCCTGAGGATGAGTCATAAAGCAAGAGATTAGAATAGAGTCCTTCCAGAGCAGCTTCACAATTACCCTCACATTGACATACCAGTTAGAGAGGAAAGTAGCAGAAATCACGGCCTGAGGGAAGAGGGAAATACAGCATGAGTTTTGAAAGATGGAGACCAAAAAACATTTTTATGAAGACCACCTCCTAGGTAACCCATGTTGAATGAAACAGGTCTGTTGAAAATCAGGGGCTCTCTGACATAGGAGTGCTGATATTGTCTGTGTAGGGAACATTCTCTAATTAGACACTTGTCAAAAGGAACAGAATGTTACCATCATCTTTGTTTAAACATTGGCAGTTTATAATTTTAAAATCGATGTGGAGTGGGTGTGTGTTTGCACTTCAAGTTTGCTGAAAAATTTTCACAATAAAACACTGGAAAAAAAACACTTCCTTTCTAAAAGCCCTATCTCTCAACAAAATAGTAAAACTAAACAAACTGAAGAAATTGAAGAACTTAGCCATTCTGTATAGAGAATTCCAATCTCTCCCCTACTATGCAGCACTTTCTTTCAATTGTTTGTTAATATTTTTTGTGCTCTAGAGAAAAGGGTGAGGGTGAAAACAAATGCTTTTCATTTCACTGTTTGGTTCTATAAACTTGGACAGGGAGAGACTGAGGAAATGACCACCTCTTAGAATTTGCTGGGCTATGAGTTCTCAGTAATTACCCGTGCTTCAGTATAAGATTTTGCCCCTAAAGTTCAATTATTTCAGAAATTTAATATGAGAATAGTGAATGAATTAGTGAAAATATCTTCATTTAGTTATCTTGTGATAATGGAACAAAGAAACCCTGACTGTTGGTATAAAACCAGTATGGAATGAAATGTAACCACACCCAGGACTTGAAAAGTGACCAGACAATAACAGGCACACAGAGGCAAGGGGAACAAATCCCTCAGGCTTCCCTGATGCAACAGAAGTAGGATTTCAAGGAAAATAAGCAAAGAAAATTTCATGGCAAAATTAAATGATAAATAATAAGTGAGTAAGTGTTATCCTTGGGAGTTTGCTATGCATGGCCTGACAGCTCCATTTTGAGAGAAAGTGAGAAGTTAATAACAAACAGGAAAAATAAACAAGCCTTTAGCTGACTAGAAAATAGCTCAGTAGAAAATTATTTTACAAAGATTATATTCAATTAGCTAAGGCATGATCAACTTCAATGAAAGCTCAGCCATCTGATGGGATGATGCATGGCAAGTTTGCTTTTCACTGCCTAAATAGACAGTCACTAAAATAACTTCTTACAAGGTACAGAAATTTTGGCCAGTGTAATCCTCTACAAAATGCATTTGCAAATATAAAATAATGGAGGTATGACGCTGCTCAGAGAATGGGAATGCTATAGCAATCCACAACATCCTATCCTCCTTAGGGCTTTGCCCCCAGGGGAACAGAAGGGGCAGGATGTATTGCCCTTCGTTGTTCATGATGCAGATGCTACCGCAGACCTGCTGGGAGGAGTCCTGTTCTTCGAGTTACTGATGCTGTGGGGAGAGAGGTGTGGCGAGAGGCATCCACACAGTGAAGGAGTGAGCCAAAGGGAACATCATGCAGAAGGTGACTCCTCAGAGGAGATAAAGGACTTTGAAATCCTGGAATCACAGGATATCTCTGATTGGCCAGGCAATTTCTCTGCTCTCAATCCCCAGTGAATGGGCAGATCCCTCACAACTTAGAATTCCTCCCAGGGAATGTTGGGCTGCACCCTAAACACAGGGGAGATTGGCATCCCCCATCTCTGAAAGCACAGACTTCTCCCCAAGCATCACAGGACTGACCTGCAGCAATGGAACATTATCACTTCCCGAATTCTCCAAAAATTGTCATCTTTAACTCCATAGAAGAGGTGCCCTCAGTGGCTCAGAACAGATGGGAAGCCTTCTGAGAAACAGATGGAAACTGTTTCAAAGGCAAAATGAAATGTGCTAAAAAAAAAATAAATAAATAAAGTAATAAATAAATCCAATTATTTCTCAAAATCCGAAGGCAGTAACAGACTAAGGACTAAGAAACAAGAAGGGACAGACAACCACTGAGGTCCCATCTGATTTCATTCTCCTTTCCACCTGAGGCCTGGCACCTGGTGCTCTGGTGACCGCGGGCTGCAGCGCCACCTGCACTATGTGGCCCTCCTGGGCCTCAGGGTTAGTAGAATGGGAAAGGCTGTCACCAGGGAAATGCGAGCTTTGGTCAGTAAAGAACAAATACAATCAGCAGCAACAGTAAGCTTCATTATCATCTTTCCTAAGGGACTTTGAACACTAAAAGCTTCAAGCCCTCAATGCAAGAAACCTAAATCCAGAAACTCTGGAAACCTGATTGGGTTTCACTGCATTTGGTTCCAAAGCAAAATTTCTAAATAACACTCCTATTCTAAAGACAAAAAAAAGTGGTGGGGAATCTGGAGTGTTTTTTTTTAAAATCTTCTCTACAAATGATACCCCTCCTTTGATTATACAAAAAAACACTTAATTAATAACACAACTTTCAAAGATGTAGGTTCTGAGATCAACTCAGTACCTAATTTCTACCCTATCCGATTTGACCACCAGTCCCCATGGGAAGGGAAACTAGCTCTTAGAACAGGAAGTAATAGAGGCAGTTTTTCTTCCCAGAAGATCTCAGGTTACAATGATCACCACTTTAGATTGCATGAAAGTTCTTGCTGTAATGGCAAAAACAAAGACTTAGGAAAGAGAAAAGAGAAGGAGTCTAACCATCAGGAATAGTAAAATCCCTCCAAGGGCAGTGAGGTCTCCCAGCCTATGCAGAGACCAAGAATAACCAGCAGGCAGGAATATGGCAGTGGTAAGAGGCTGGACAGAGCTTTCTCCATCCAAGAGAGTGGGCTCCTTCATGGACAATGTGCTTTTCCCTCTTCTGGCACCTCAAAAAGTAAAGAGAGTGGGTACTATTAAATGCATCAGCAGTAAGAGCTCTGGGGGAGGAGACGGCAGCAATCTGAATGATAAACCTTGTACCAAAACAAATCTATTTTTAAAAGACAACATTCTACTTCCTTTTAGGCTTGTGCCTGATAGGTGCCTTCACAGAGGGATTTTGCTGGAATCTGAAGCAAGAAGAGCGTGAGTCAGGGACCACAGAACAGGGGCACGACACCACCATCTGCAGAAGCCAAGAAGGGGAAAAAGCTACAATGTAGGGTCAACAGTCAGGCATGCCAGACAGGCCACAAGGCTCAGGAGCCTCACACTGAACTCTTAGCTCTTGCCTATCCCAAACAAGAGGCACCAGCCGGCAGCCTGCTTCAGCCAGCAAATACAGCCTGCCCCGTCCCAGCAGTCCTTCAGCTAGTGTAGTAGATGTGGAAGTAGAGAGTCTTGTTACGCAGCAGGGAATAGGAGTTGTCGAACTTGAGCAGGTAGATGCCCTCACCAGGGTAGTCATGGCTGCCAGCCTGCACATCTCGGTGGCTGTCCCGTCGGTACACAGGCATGACCTCCCCATAGCGACCCCGCAGGGAGCTCCTGGAGCCTCTCTCCACATCTCCAACTGGAACAGGTTCTGCATGAGCAAAATGGCAGAGTGTTTGGATATGAGTTCAGAGACCGAATAAGTCCTACCTGAAGGTGAGAAGGAGGACCAGGTAACCCAGTGGCTTTCACGGCAGGGAGAAATTGTTGCCCTCCTAAAGGCATCTGGAAATGTCTGGTGATCTTTTGGTCATCACAGTGACTGCTAGGGGATATTGGCATTTAGTACCCAAGGGTCCAAGAGTGCTAAAATCAGGATAATACCTACACAACAAAGAAATGCCAATAATGTCTCCATTGCGAAACAATGATTTAGCCTGATAGGAGCCTTCCTAGTTCCAGAAGCGTCTGGACATTTCTGAGGGGAGAAAGAGATATTTAGAAGGAAAGACCTTGACATCCTTTCATTCAATAGGTAAAAGAACTAGCTAACAGAAGTAGGAAATGCAGATAAACATGCTGTATAGAGTGACCCTAACACTTCTCCTAGGCTTCCTAAAAAGTAGCAAATAAGATACGAGGTTCTCCTCTTTTTTAAACACCTGTAGATTTCCCTGAAGACTTGATTTTCTTTTTTTTTGAGACAGAATCTCACTGTCACCCAGGCTACAGTACAATGGCATCATCATAGCTCACAGCAACCTCAAACTCCTGGGCTCAAGCAACCCTCCTGCCTTTGCCTCCCAGAGTGCTAGGATTACAGGTGTGAGCCACCTCACCTGGCCCAGACTTGCTTTTCTATAAAGAAGCAAATTAAGGGATTGATTTTTATTTTATTTTATATTTAGAGATGGGATCTTGCTCTGTCACCCAGGCTGAAGTGCAGAGGCACAATCATAGCTCACTGTAACCTCGAACTCCTGGGCTCAAATGATAAGGGATTCATCTTAAGATTATATACAAAAATCAAGGAATAAGACCAATGCTTAGACCCTATTCTTACAGTACCCCCAAAAATGCCTCTGGGTCATCCCTGAGTAGACATGCTGAGTATAACAACTGGAGTGGAGCACAGAAAACACTTTTAAAACTGCTCTGGGAATGAAGTAAAGAAGTGACCAGTAGTCAGCCAGCTGAGACAGTTTGGAGTAGGGAGAGAATGGAGACTTTTAGCAAAGTATAATCACTCAGTTTGGTTCCAGGCCAAGAATAAATATCCCAAAACTAAGAGAGAAATATAAGATAATCTCAGGTTCATATGCAATCTGAAAAACCCTGCCTCTCTATCCAGCAGGACTGACTCACCCTCTCCCTGACACCATCCCATCCCTGTCCCCAAGATGTTGGGAAAACAGTGACATACTGATTAAAGGAAAAGAAGCTTTCAAATAAGGCATCGATACCAACCACACCAGAATGTTCTCTGAGGGTCTGACTTTGGCTGGCACCACTCAACTGAGCTTATGATGCGGAATTCCTCACCCACAATGCTGCCGGATTCCTCATCTGCATTCCAAGGAAGAGGATGACTAGTACAACCCAGGAAGTGGTCACCAGAAATTTGGTTGGGCCAAAAAAGAAAATTATAAGTTATGTTTAACTTAAATTTACCTTCAATCTCCTCCTCTTCCTCTTCTTCATCCTCATCCTCACTGGAATCACTGACCTGCACAGTTATGTCAGTGCTAGTTACAGGGGTCCAGTCAAAATAAACTCCAAAGCCAATGTCATAGTCATCAGTTGCAAACTCCCAGCAGACACGCTTCCCCTCTGGGTGGGTAGGTACCCGGATGGTCACCACCTCACCCCGCTTCACCACCAGACGGCTGTTCTTCTCTTTGCCCAACTTGCTTTTGAATTCCTTCACCTTGGAAAACGTCCAGATGCATGGAGGTGCCATCAGAGGTGGTGAGACTGAAAAGACAGGCAGCTTACTACTGAGAAACCACAAGGAAATGCTAGCACACCTGCCATTTTGCTGGGTTGACACTCTGACATTTTGAAAGGTTGACACTCTTTCTACTGGCTTTTCTGACTTCCTTTCACAAGTCATTTTCTTATGTTCCCTCTGCTGCCTGTCTTTCTTTACATATCTATTGGAAACAAAAATTCCATGTTCTATACTCCCAAAAGTCTCACCTTTCCTGTGGTCCCCCAGAAGATCTGCAGATTCCATATCAGCTGAAAGAACATCTATAGCTCCTGTATGCTCAGACTGGATCATCACAATGTCACCAGACCGTTGTGGAACTTGATACTTGGCCATCTGCATGACAGAATTCTGGTTAAAGGACATATTAGAGTGGCAGATTCCAATTAGCTCTTTTCCAAATGAAGACTGCCTCCCTACTCCCTATTCTATCACCTCTTCTACCCCAACTCAAAGCTTCACATGCTATACAATGTTCCTTCACTTTCTTCCAAGTATAAGTTGCTAATAAATTCCACTGATTTTTTTAATGCTGCCAAAGTGTTCCCTAGTTTAAAGATTCTTTCTTGTTCTTTCCTACCTTTAGCACCTTTCCCACTACAGACCCTTTATAAAATCCTGGCCCACAAAAATACTTCCAGCTTACTACTACCTTTTGTATCAGTGGTGTTTCTGGGCCTTGCCTTCGTCTCGCCTCACCTGCGCAGAACCTCCCCATGGCTCCTCTCATGACAGCTCTTGCACTTGTGGTTTAGTTCAACTCCCACTCTGCCACACATCCTCCTGTGGCAATTCCCACTCAAGGGTTACTTCTACATCACTGTCAATCATTTATCCAAGGCTCTGCAGAGAGAGAATCTGGTTTATAGTCTCTCTCTCCCCCAACCTTTCCCTCTCTCATCCATGGCCCACCTCAGGCTACAAGTTGTCTCAGCTGCTATGTCACTAACAATGTTCTATAAATAATAGCAATTTCACCTTAGACTATCCCCAGGACTTGCATTTAAATAGTCAATTTGCTGTCAGAGATACTTCCATGTCAGACCTGCATGGAAGAATACAAATGGCATTTGATACTCAAAGCCCCTGCTAACCCATGCAGGAGCCTGCAATCTCTCCCTGGTGGGTGTCCCTTCAAATCACTCAGATTAGTGTTCCTGGTTTCATGTTATTATGCCTTTATTTCCTGTCCCTTCTCCAAACAGTCGGCAAGCAACCAACAAGAAATCTATACCAGCTGTCCACAGGGGAGAGCACATCAGTGAGTCAGCAATCCAATTAAGAGGTCGGAATTGTATTTTTGAGAAATAAATAAATCAAGTTTGTAATCTTTCCAGGCTGTATTCTCACAATATCTGTTTCTGAAGAGCAAGCCTTCTAGTTCTTCTCATCTCTAGCACTAAATGAAGTGAATTAGACTTTGGCTAGTGTGCTTAAATGAATCCTTTCTTTTCCAAAATGTTAAACAAAGGATTTAGTTTGCAACTTATAAGCTGCATAGCCTTAGTAAAGTCACTAATAGCTTGGTCTCAGTTTCCTCCTTTGTTAAATGAGGACACAATGGTATCTATCTCACAAGGTTGTTTTTAAGAGTAAATAAAGTGTGGTGGATAAAAATGCTTGTAACCATAAAGTATTATACAAATGTAATTATAATGCTTGGTGTTGTCTTAATTGTCACTAATTATTAATTGTCATTAATATCAATTGTTATTATAATACATATGCTAATAATGATACAAACAACCCCTACCTCCCATACCTCCAGCGCAGGGGGACCACTACTATTAATATCACTTCTACAAAACCTTTACCATTAAGAAAAGTAAGACTAAAACACAGTCCAATGACTGCAGGCTCCTCACATCAAAAGGATTTTAGGGAACACATGAACATTTATTCTAACACTTCATTTCCTGAATAAGTGCCTACCACTGGGTACTAGTAAAATGCTGGGCCCTGTGAGAGATACAAATAATCATTCTCCAAATAATTAAAAAGGAGATGCCCTAAAGGGAGCAAAGAGAGAATTCTGGGAGCCACCCTCACAGTGCTTTCTAATTCCAATGCATCCATTACGTATCCACATTCTGGTGCCACAAACTCCTCCTTTTATAAGATGGCCAGAATACGCTCCCTACCTCGTTGAGGACCTGGGCCTGGTCTGTAGGCAGCAAATCCTCTTCCACTAACGCCTCAGCCTCCAAGGCACCAGCTGCTTTCTGCAGGTCTTCTTTGGCATCCTTGCTCACTGGAGATACCATCTGTGGCCTCTCAGAGGAAGAGATCATGTCAATTCTAGGGCTCTTTGTAAAGGTGCAATTGTCCTAGAAAAACTCTGAAATAAAACAATGTTCAAAGGACACCCCCACCCCTCCCTTCGGCTGGCATTTAGATCTATTGTCACTTCAGCAGACCACTGCCCAGGGCTGAATTGGCCCACAATGAAGCAGTGACAATGTCTAAGGGCACAAGGACTGAAAAAGCCAGGTACCAGGAATCTGAGAACCATGAAAAAAAAAAAAAAAAAACACATAGCTCAGTCACCTGAGATGGACTGCAGGTCTGGTTTTCTTTGCTGTGGTTGTTTCACTTATTTATTTCAGTTGACAAATAAAAATTGCATATATATATTCATGGTATATACAGTGTGCTGTTTTATTATATGTATACATTGTGAAATGATTAAACTGAACTAATATACCTATCCATCACTTCACATACTTATTTTCTTATGCTGAGAATGTTTAAAATCTACTCTTTTAGCAATTTTCAAGTACGCAATATATTACCTATAGTCAACATGCTGTGCAAAAATCTCCAGAATTTATTCCTCCTAACTGAATCCTTTGATCAACATCTCCCCATCCTACTCCCCAGTCTTACTAACCACCATCTTACTTTCTGCTTCTATCGGTTCGACTTTATTCCTCACTCCGAGGCACATCATTTACTCCACACCAGAATTTCAACAAAAGTAGAGTTAGAATCCCAATTAGGATCTACTCACAAAACCACTACATAAAAGCAAAGGGAGGAGGCCTCAAAAGCCAGAGATTGATCACCAAAACAAAGGAAGTGCAAACTATCAGCAAGGCACTTCACTCTACAGTTATTCCAGGGGCAAAGTCTTTCAGCAGTTCCATTTCATACCCTATTCCAGTTTACTCATAGACCTACTCACTTTCTCTCCCTTTTTAATCACATTAATCAACTATCCCAAGGACTTAAAACACAACCATGTGAATAGCTGATTTTAAAGAGGCAAGGGAATAATTTATGCTTCTTTCCATTTCCCCTTGCTTCAGAGAGACTAGAAAATGAGTTAGGTGCCAGCCTGTAGCACAATATCCCAGGCCTTTTGGAAATCTGTTGCCAATAAAAGATGACATGGATTTTTTTGAGCAGCGGTTATCGAAGTATGGTCCAGGACCCTTGGGGTCCTCAGGACCTTTCAGGGAGGTCTGTTAAGTCCAAACTTTTTCATAATAATACTAAAATGTTATATCTCCCTCTTCTCATTCTTATTTTCTTAAGAGTGTGCAGCAGAATTTTCCAGAAACTATATGACATGTGCTATCTTAATGAAATGGATCCAGAAGCAGAGATGAAAATCCAGCTGTCTTTTATTAAGCCTGACATCAAAGAGATTTACCTTGTTTCTCTTCTCACTACACTATTTGCTTTGGAAATTAGTTGTTTTTAATTAAAACACATGTTATTTATACTAGCATGGAATGAGTTCATTATTGTTTTTAAATAAATAACTATATTCTAATTTTTCAGTTTTAATTTCTAATATGGTAAATATTGATAGATATATTATAGATATAACCCACATAAATAAAAATTCTTTGGGATCTTCAATAATTTTTAAGAGTGTAAAGGTTTGAGAATCCCTGCTTTAGGACCTTGTTTCCTCAGAGAGGCTGAGTAAAGCACTGGGAAATGGTACTATAAACCTCACAGGGGAAGCAGAAGAGAATTTTATTTTAGAGTTTATTAGTTTTTTTCTCTCTCTCTCTTTCCTTTTTTAACATAAATAAGAAAAATCACCCCTAGTTTATAAATTACCTCTTCTGATAAAACAGCCATCTTTTGGAATATCCGAATCACTTCAACCTAGCTCAGAACAAACAAGAGGTGACTGTTATGAGAATCAGAGCTGTGGGATACTGTTGATTTTTACAGAGTCGCTTAGGTAATCCTGTGTAAATTGTAAATTGGTCTAGGTCATGAGCCTATGTTAATACTCTTAAACCCAGAAATTGCAGTTCATTTTTGTTTCTTGAGTGTTTATCATTTGTCTCCTCTCCTAGAAGGTAAGCCTGGTGGCAGTGACTGGGTCTTACTCCCTCTGTATGTACAACATCTGGAACCAAGCCTGTCACATGGGACTTGAAAGCCCTTTGCACTCTGACATTGCCTTGAATCCCTGCTTTGCCCAGGTCACTCCACTCACAATGGCTTCTTGAATCCCTAACAGTCCTCAAACACCCCAAGCACTCTTCCAACTAAGAGCCTTTGCACTTGCTGTAGCCTCTGCCTAGAATACTCTTCCCTAGTTAACTTATGGTTTCCGTCTCTCAGGTTTCTGCTGAGAGGTTTCCTAGAGATTCACAGATGAGGCTTCTTCAGAGACTTCATAGAAAATGAGTGTTAAGAAAAAATACACATGGATTTAAAAATTTTTTTGTGCCAAAATAAACTCATACTCACTTGTTATGACATGTCTCAACAGGATCTAGTTTGAGGCACTAAGAAGGATAAGACATCAGTTTGAAAAGAGCTCCTATCAAAGCAACATGAATTCTGCTAAAATCGAAGCAAGAACCAACGTTAAATTTATGGTGACACTTGGGTGGAAGAATGGTGAAATCATTAATGCTTTATGAAAAGTTTATGGAGACAATGCCCTAAACAAAGCAGTTCACAAATGGATTACTCATTTTAAGAGGGGACAAGATGATGTAGAAGATGATGCCTTCAGTGGCAGATCATCCACATCAATTTGCAAGGAAAAAATTAATCTTGTTTGTGTCCTAACTGAAGAGGACAGATGATTAACAGCAAAAACAATAGTCAACACCATAGACACCTCAACTGGTTCAGCTTACACAATTCTGACTAGAAAATTAAAGTTGAGAAAACTTTCCACTCAATGGGTGTCCAAACCATAGCACCCAGATCAGCTGCAGATAAGAGCAGAGGTTTCAACAGAAATTTTAAACAAGTGGGATCCAGATCCTGAAGCATTTCTTCAAAGAACTGTAACAGGAGATGGAACATGGCTTTATCAGTATAATCCTGAAGACAAAGCACAACCAAAGCAATGGCTACCAAGAGGTAAAAGTGGTCGAGTCAAAGCAAAAGTTGGACCGGTCAAGAGCAAAGGTCAGGGCAACAGTTTTTTGGGATGCTCAAGGCATTTTCCTTGTTGACTTCCTGGAGAGCCAAAGAACAGTAACATCTGCTTATTATGACAGTGTTTTGAGAAAGTTAGCCAGAGCTTTAAAGGATAAACATCCAGGAAAGCTTCACCAGAGAGTCCTTCTCCACTATAACAACGCTCCTGCTCATTCCTCTCATCAAACAAGGACAGTTTTGTGAGAGTTTTAATGGGAAATCATTAGGCATCCACCTTATCCTGACTTGGCTCCTTTTGACTTCTTTTTGTTTCCTAATCTTAAGAAATCTATACAGGGCACCTATTTTTCTTCAGTTAATGATACAAAAAAGATTGCTTTGGCCGGGCGCGGTGGCTCACGTCTATAATCCTAGCACTCTGGGAGGCCGAGGCAGGTGGATCACTCAAGGTCAGGAGTTCGAGACCAGCCTGAGCAAGAGCGAGACCCCATCTCTACTGAAAAATAGAAAGAAATGATCTGGACAACTAAAAATATATA